GTGCACTCTATACATTGGTGTGGAGTTTGCTTGAAATGGCCTTATGGTTTTCTTATAAATTGAGGTGAAAAATGAGGGCTCGGTTAACCGGCTCTCATATTCCCCCTCTGACACATATGGATTTTCTGTACAACATGGATTTGAACTAACTTGAAACAGAGCTCTGAACTTCTGAAGTATATGCATCATCCTGCTTTCTGTTCTTTTCTTCCTTCTGCCCTCTGTGGGCAACCCACTTCATTGCAAGCGAAGCCGCGGGGCGTACAAGTCGTGTAATAAAATGAAACACTGCCTTCACCAGGGTGCATCATAACAGGTAACCCAGGCTTTTTCTTTCGAGTGGATGGCCGACACTTGGGTAGTGGGTGAGGGAAAGTTGAACACAACTCACCGACTAGGGAGGAAGCCAGATTTGGGTGGATGGAGACCTACAGAGTAACCCCGTCTGGGGAGTCGCAAAAAATGATAGCAGTCAGGGAAAAATAGGGGAGAAAGCGGTCACTGAATTGCCCATCACCTGTCCTTCCGAGTCATCCATATGTGTTGTCATGCTATGATCTGTTAAAGGGACGCTGGACCCGATCCCAGCAGGTCCAGGTGCAGCTTCCCACCAATCGACTGAAGCCATCATTAACGGGTGGATCCCCCTCTTGGAGGATGCTCAGATCACCTCCAAGACTCGGTCCCCCCAAGATCAGTTAAAATTTAAAATAAGAACAAAATTAAAAAAAAAAAAAGAGATCAGCGATCATATAATGTAATGATTTGTAATCCCTTCTGACTTGCCGGTGGAATAGGAACCGGACTGATGCTGTAATCCCTTCTGACTTGCCGGTGGAATAGGAACCGGACTAATTCTTCCCAGAATGGATAAGGAGCCTGAACCATACGGTTCCGTTTTTTCTATTAAAAAAAAAATCTATTAAAAAACAAACAAACAGATCAGTTAAAATTTAAAATTAGAACAAAATAAAGAATAAAAAAGAACAAAATAGAGAAGATTAGCATGGCCCTGCACAAGGATGACAGACACAGACACACCTGCCCATGTGGCTGAATGTTATAACATCTAACTGTTCATGAAGAGACCATGGGCTCAAATCCTCGTGGAATAAATAATTTCAATCACCTTAGGGGGTGACCCCATAATAAAATTGAAAAAAAAAGGAGGAGGATGGACATATCGAGAAATGACCCAAATTATTAAAAATGAGAAAAAGTACCCTTCACCAGGGTGTATAATAACAGACTACATGACCTCTTGCGGTTTCCCCCCCCAAAACAACAACAACAACAACAAAAGAGAACAGGACCTTTTACAATGCACGCCGAATGAAGGCGAGCAAAGGAAAAAGTGTTTACACATCAAGATAAATCCCTCGAGACAACGGCCTGTGTTTCCCTTTCCCTGCAATTAAGAATAATGGATAAAAAGGAGGCCTTACTCCTCCCAACCTCCCCCTCCTCCACGAACACCTTCCACTAACCCTCTCCACCCACCACGCACCCTTCGCTGTCACCCACTTCTTCTCCACATACCCCGATCCCCCATGCCCTTCCCCCCCACATACCTCACCCTCTTCCTCATCCATGCACCCTTGCCCTCCATGCCTCCACCGCCTTTCGTGATGCGCCGCATAGTGATGTGGCAGTGCAATTTTTCAAATGCCACTTGAGGCGTCGAAATTTATCCAGCTGCACGCAGCGCTGCGAGAGCTATTTTTTTGAGCCACATAATACCGCTCCAGATGAAGTTTTGCACCGTGCAGCACAAGGCGACGTGAATCTTTTGGTGCCACAACCTTGCACAGGGGCGCAGTCTTGGGGGTCATGTGGGACCTCAGATTGTGTGCTGAAATTTGTGGGTGGCGAGTGCATGGGCCTCTGGTACAAAATCCAGGATTGCAGATTGTACGCGCTCCACAGCCCGTGCAATGTTGCCATTGCTACAGTCTTGATGTGTTCATGGTTCTCCAGACCACCAACACACAATCTCAACCGCACGATGCCACAACACCAATGGCCACGATTGCTTGTTGATGGTCTGGAGTTCGTACCCACCCACTCTAGTTAGCAATTTTTATACACGCCGTGACTAACCCAGGCTAAATTCAGAGAGCTCGAGTGGCACAACTGGCTGCAGAACTACGACAAACCTGAAACCCAAGGGGTGAGTCACAGAGAATTACTGTATTCATGAGGCCATGTGGTTGCACTGGCTTGGGTCGCTTTGTGATTATTACAGATGAATGGACACTGGAAACCCCTACCAGGCCTCCACTGAGCTCAACTGGTCATGTTCTCGGCCCTCTGGTGCACTGCCCATGTCAGAAAGAAGTCTGTTAGTCCTTGCATCTTCGTGATGCCGGGATGGAGAGCTGTACGCAATACTTCTATTTTGTAGAGTAGGTTCCACAAATGAAGCATGCAGAGAAATAGCAGTGGGTTTTCCAAATCAAAAAGAAAGCAGTGGAATTTCCAACAACATGACAGATCTTAGTGTATTTTTTCTTTTAAGCTTAGTAATATCCACAGATATAGATGAAACGGCACGTTAAGAACTGGGCAATTTCGACTGAGATAGACTCTAAGTTCACGCCTTGCCTTTTAGAATGGAAGGAAGAATGATTTGTTGCATCAAGTGAGATGGCCCTTCCATTTTCCTTTGCAGGAAGGCGGCAAGGAACGGGGGCGTTTGAGGGTGGCAAGTTGGCAGAACGTGGGCAGTTGGGGGAGTTTACACAGAGTCCCTGGAGGCCCTGGGGATTCTTTTTTTTATTTCTCCATTCATCTGCGTCACTAATCAGATGATGAGACATTTGGCTACCTTAAGAGAGTCCTAGTTACGCCCGCCGTTTAGCCGCGCTTCGTTGAATCTCTTCAATTTGACATTCTTCCTTCGACCAGAGGCCGCTCACCCAGGAGACCTAATTCCTTTCCATTTTCCTTTCTGGGAAAGTGGCAAAAAAGGGGAAGGCATTTGAGGGTGTCAAGGTGGCAGAATGTGCGCTAGGGTATCCGCTTGGCCCAACTGGGAATGGGTGCTTACGAGCATCAGAGACCCGGGAACAAGGCAACGCGTACGGAGGACATCACAATAGACTATTTTGCAGAATTGAATCAGAGAACAAATCTGCACACTGCAACAGCAAAAGAACATGTGATGCAGAAAACATGGCCTCCTGTTACCAGATCAGAAGCTCAGGCCCCACTAGGCATTGCCCATGTCGCACACAGCCAAACTAAACAGTTCATTCTCATACGTTGACCGCCATATAGACCACAGTGTTCACCTCCCATCCCAACTGCCCCCCGACTTCCCCAAGAGCATACAGATATTCACTGCTTAGGCACTTCCCTGAGCAGACCTTGCACCAGTGAGTACGGGGGGGGCTACACGGTAGTTAGCTCCAGTCTTGCACCAGGGGCAGCCACCCCCCAGTGGCCCGAACTACACACTGGGTTGGGTGGCAAATGAGGTTTGATAATTTTGCCTTAAACCACCAGTAAATGGGTCCAGCCAACTTGAGAATCACGATTGAGCCTCTCCAAAAAATTGAGGCTCGGGGCAACCGGACCAAAATGGCTGGTGGCACTAGCCAAAACTGAAACAAGAACACCGTGCTGGCGTTTCGGCAAAGCTTGGCGCGCAGTGGGAATCTGCCGCATACAAAAGAGGCACGGATGTACTGGCACTTTAAACCGCCAGTCCATCCGCAGCAAAGAGCAGGTCCAAACTACTTTCCAATGATGCAGAGGCCAGCACCGGGACCGTGCTTACTTTTCTAATGGTCAGTGGTGGTCACTTTTAAGGCGGCAAGATGCATTTTCGGCTTCCTCAATTTAGCTTCGGATGGACTGGTGGTTTAAGGGCAGTGGTGGCTTTAACTGTCAACTCCTCAATGATGCAAGACATAGAGACAGCATCCACAGAGAGATGACCATACACCCTCAGGGGAAGGGGATAGGGGTCGAGAAGACAGCTTCATACCATCATGGAAGGCATACCTTATGAAAAAGCATTCCAATCACAACCCTGCTGCAGCACTCCTTAAGCCATCACTCCCTCCAACATCAAGAAATTGGGGGGACCGGTAGAACAGGTTCATTAGGGCTACCGGTAGTACAGTGTGGAGAACCGAAAGAAACACAAAAATGGAAAATGTGTTCAAATGCCTCCACGATTTATTTCATGGTTTAAGCAATTTTTTTAATTTTTAAAAATATTTTTTCCTGGAAAGATCACGAGCAAATCTACAGACCCTCCAACTTCCGGAGTCTTTGAAGCATTCTTTGGAACGGGGAAAATCGCAGAAGTGGAGTACTTTTCCCGTTGGCCTACAAACGGCACTGTGGCAAAACTGGAACATGCAACAAATCAGCACGGCGATTTTTTCACCGTCAAAATGATTTTATTTTATTTTTCTGATATTTTTCCTGGAAAGATCACGACCTAATCTACCAATGCTCAAATTTCCAGAATTTTCTGTGAATTCTTCTGGCCAGGCAAAATCACCGAAGTTGCCGCTTCAAATTTCGGGACTAGGCCCGCCGTTTCCGCCTCCAGTCGCCGCCCTCCATCAAAACCCGCCCGAACTCACAGGGAGGGCTATTTCCGGCTGGCGGGCGGAGTGGTGGTTTAATCTCGTGCACAGCATGCCACACTCGGGACACCTGATAGGTCTCGGGACACCTGGACATATCAGGCCACATTTCTTACAAGATACGGCACAGCAAGCCACACTCAAGAGGCAGACCCTACAGACAGCATACCTTATGGAAAAGCATTCCAAGCACAACCCTGCTGCAGCACCTCTTTTATCTTGTGAACACAAATACCAACCACGCCTCGGGACACCTGGACATATCAAGCCACATTTTAAACAGCATACGGCGCAGCAGGCCACACTCAAGAGGCAGACCCTACAGACAGCATAAGCAACACCAGTCGATACAACTTCCTTTCTCCTTTCCAAATCTTGGGCTCTGTGAACACCCACCGTTCCTCCTCCATCTGCCAAGAGAACACTGATCTCCTCTGCAACACTATCCAGCTCATTTCCATTTTCCAACCTTGCAATCAGCGCCTGGAAAAGCTTCCCAACATCTCTGGTTTTGACATGATCCGTCAAAGTTCTGTGGAATGGCAATTGCACAAAGTCAACCACAGGTGCTTCTGTTAGCTGAACCGTATGCAACAGCAAACGATGATCAAGGAGTCTGTTTCGCGACTTGAAAAAAAAAGAGGAAGGGTCACCTCTGAAGTTCTTCTGTCACATCTGATTCCATCAGGATACCCCGTCATCGGTTTCTCAACACTTACCTGCATGTACCATTCAGCCAAATGCATTCAGTCACACATTCAGCCACATGCATCCAGCCACGCCGGCTGGGTGATCAAGGAGTTTGAGAGCAACAACCCGGTCGGGAAAGAAAACAACAATTGTTATTTTCAAAGTGTACTTTGTTGCGAGGCAGCAAATGCACTGCAACATTTCCCTCGGTCCACAGAGTCGTGATTGACATGCATAATTTCTCAGAATTAATGTAGAGTTCATTATAAGCCCTCGGCTAAGTCATGCCGAAGCTGTCGACACCTAGGCTACCAGCCGGGCGGCCTGGGTCACCTTGTTTGGCCGGGCGGCCCGGCTGTGCAAGGACCAAAGAAGGTCCCCGCAAAAAGAAAAAAAATAACCAAAAGATCTGAGGAAAAAAACTATGTTATGCACAAAAATAAACTGAACAACTTTTGCCTCAGGGTCACATCAATTTTTTTATTTTTTTATTTTTTTTTGTTTTGTTTTGTGTGGCATTCGCTGAAGTGGACGCCTTCCAGAAATTCTCAGCGGCCTTTTGGCCCCTGAGGGGTTTGGTATATAGTTTTCCACATCGATTTTTTTTAAAAAAATTACCAAATTCAAATGAAAGAAAAAATTCAAAAAATATATTTTTATTTTTATTTTTATTTTTCTAGTTTTTTTCTGGCCCGGCCGGAAAGTGATCCTGGGCCACTGGTAGCCAAGGTTGATACTCAATTGAAAGGGTTTTGCGCATTTCTACGCCTGAGTCCCAGGCCCAGTCCCAGAACTGCGAAGGTTCCAGAGTATCATAGTCCATCCGGTAGGCCCTGCCTTACAATCATAACTGTAGGGTCGTCGGTAGGGTCCGTCCACAGAAGTTCCCGTAGGTCGTTAGAAGTCTGGTGTGCAACCGAAGTCCAAGTCTCAAAAATAGCAGCTCAATACAAGAAAGTACAGTACTTACTGGAAGTTTCAGACGACTGTGGCCAGATAGGCCAGGGAGCAGTACAGGTCCGAAAAATCAGAGATTGGGAACTGCGGCAACGAGCAAAAGCGCTACCACAGTGTCAGCACAAAATTCCATTCGGGTCTGTCCCAGAAGCGCCGCTGCATGCTTGTGCGACCAAACACCCGTGCGACTTGGCAGGGGAGATACCAAGAAGGGTAGTCCACGGCACTGGGCACCATAGCTCGGAAGAGAGAGGGAGAGAGAGAGAGAGAGAGAGAGAGAGAGAGAGATGTTATGTACCCAACTGAACTTCAATCCACAACAAAGTCCTTCGATCCATAACGAATTCACACGTTCCCATACACGCATGGAATTGCAGAGTAGACTCGAGGGAGGCAAATCCACACAAAACCTGAGAGAAGATATGCACAATATGTGAACGTGTGAATTCGTTGTGGATTGAAGTTCAATCGGGTACATAACACAGTCAGACAAAGAGACAGACAGACGGACAGAATATTCAGACAGGGAAGCAATCCGTGGGGGTGGGGGGAGGAGAGAGATTGAGAGAGAGTGGGCGGGAGGGGGGAGAGGGGGAGGGGGAGGAGAGAGAGCATACCTATGGGTTGATGACAGCAGCCATAGCTTCCACGTGGATACAATTCGAGATTTGCTACTTGCCAGTTCATTGTTTGGCTCCTAATAATAATTGGAGTTCTCACATAGTTTTCATATTGCATCGTGTGCGACTGGCGCACTGTGTGACAGCTTGTCAGTTGCTTTGAGATTGCTACCTTGTTTGAATTTGGGTGAGGAGGCTGCATGAAGGCACCTGCGTTTGCTAGACATGTAGTGAAGGAGAGGATGCTACATCAAGTGCTAAACTGGTGAAACAGGAGGCTAGCAAAAATGAGGACGTACCACCCACAATCAAATCGCTGTTAAAAGAGTTCTAGACTTTGGAGGAGGCACCCAGTGGAGTAGTGGAGAGGAAATCAGACATAGGATCGAGATCATGCCCGGTAGCAAGACCCTAAAGCATCCAATCTATAGGATGTGTAATGAACCCAGTCTAATAGATACTCAGAAGTCGTCAATCTACCGTAGTTTCAATATCTGCATGAAAGTCTCCAGATCGTGAAGTGATATCTCAAACAGTAACTCATTATCAAAAAGAGAAGAGAGTGGAGGGAGAATAGACAAAGGCGAGGAAGAGAGATCACACAGTAATAAACCCTTCAGATCCCTCTCCTTCTCCGGGCTTCTTTCCACACCACATCATCAATGATAATAAGTATATTCTTGATCACACTCAATAGTGCCACGTGGCACTTTATCTCATGAAGACTCCGAAGACACAGCAGATTTCCAGTGACGACGTCAACCGCAGGTGAGTACCCGATTCCCTACATCCACAGATCCCGATCTTCCTCCTCCTCGCAACCAGTCACCTCATGTAGACAGCGTGGACAATGCCACATCAGCAATCGAAACAGGTGGCATTCGCTGTTCCTCCAAATACAAACAGCACGATGCAGGTCCGAAGCTGTTCTGACATTATGAACCCCATGTAGGGTGTGTATTACCACTCACTCCCGAGCAGAGCAGGACATACAAATCATCTCACCTGCTGTCGTCCCCCAAATAGAACACACAGTCACTATAGATGCTGCATTTTGGACAACCTCCAGTCTGTATACGACGATAACGACCATGCATTCGATTCACGGGAAGATGGTACCCCCCCCGTGTAGCTGAACGATACACATGCTATTTGTTAGCAAACTGATCATGAGTTCGAGTCCTGAATCAGGTGAATGCAAAAATAAAGATCACCGTCCGATCAGAACGCAATACAAAGCATTCAAGTTCTGTTTTTTTCTTTCTTTCTTTTTCCCTCGAAAAATACAGCTGTCTTCACCTCATCGGGGGACAAGCTGTATTTTTTACTACCCTATTTTCTTCTCTCAATACACTGCTCATCTCACACTAGCTACCTACCTACCCTATATTATCCACTTCTGTATCCAGCACGGAGGCTCTTTCATGCTTCCTCAAGCTACCTACCTATTGTACCGTAAGCCCAGGAGACAATCCCAATGGGTTTGGGACCACCGAGCGCTATCCACTTGCAGGAACAGCCGTCACAAAACTGCACTATAGCACAGGGCGAGGCTTAAATTCACTAGCCAGAACTAAGCCTTCCTATGGTTATGGGTCTACGCCCCCCTCTCTCTGCTCAGTGCGGGGAGCAGTACCCAAGCCCCTAACACCTGGCGCGAGCTGGAAAGAGTCAAATACTTCCCTAACCAGCCAGGAGGCCCAAGCCAACAATCTCCGCTGGTGAACCCGAAGCATACCCCCAGGAGGTAACGGCGAACGAAAGGACGACGTTGGGAATCGAACCCACGACCTCCTGAGTACTACTTACGTGCTCAACCAACTGAGCTACCCCGCTTGGGCTTCTTTTCTTCTTTTTTTTTTGGGCTTCATTTTTTTTCTTTCTATTTTCTATCTGACCAAAGGAATCCCGACCTCTATCTACAAACCAGTCTCACGTACTTTCGGACTGAGATCGACATCAGCTTTTTTGATTCCATGACCTCCATGGAGGTAGAGGGCGATGGATGATCGTATCTACCGTCTGCACCCGAACGTACAACCATTATCACTGCATCTAGACCGACAGTTGGTCCAAACACAGCTATAAAGACTGTACTTTCCATCGCTGGAGGATCGGTTCTGCAGTAGCGAACAGCAAGATGCAGCTCTGAAGTGGTTTACCTCGTCGATACCCATGGGAACGCGTGTCTACCACTCACTCCCCCTAACAGCAAGACATAATGATGATCAGCACTCCCAAGCATAACACTTACAGATATTTTCCGACTGAGCTCGTTATCATCTCTTTTCTTTTTTCTTTTTCTTTTTTTTTGCAAAAGCAAACTATTTATTATGAAAGGTCGAATCGAGGCCGGGGACCTCACAATTCAACCCGGAGTTATCATCTCTTCATTGCGTAAGGGAGGCGAAAAGGATACTGGCGGGGAAGGGGTGTTACGGAAAGGACCCTGGCGGGGAAGGGGTGTGACGGGGGGAAGGGGGGTACAATGAGTTAAGGGGGAGAAGCGGGGTAGCGCGGAGGAAGGAGG